GTTTCCTTGGAGGTTGCGACGCCTGCCAGGGCCAAGACACAGGAGGCTGTGGCGAACGTGTCTCATGTTTTCATCCCCAGCAATCCATGTATGGAACCAGCCCAATGTGGGTCTTGAATAGTAAACAGGGTCCCCCTGCCAAGCAGTCGAGGGAGAGTGAATAGTGTCAACCATCCCAAAACTGTTTTGCAATTGCTGTTGTATTAAGAAGAGTAGTAGTGGTGGTCTGTGGTTGTAGTACTTGTAGTGGCAGTCGTAGTCGTAGTAGCAGTAGTAGTTGCCGTAGTCGTAGTCGTAGCAGCAGCAGCACTAGCAGCAGGTGGAGTAGTAGTACTGGATTTTAGTAGCAGTAGTTGTAGTAGTAGTAGTAGTAGGTAGGTAGTAGGTAGTAGGTAGTAGGGAGTAGGTAGTAAGTAGCAGGTAGTAGGTAGTAGGTAGTAGGTAGTATGTAGTAGGTGTAGCAGTAGTAGTAGTAGTAGTCGTCGTCGTCGCCGTCGTCGTAGTCGTAGTGGTAGTGGTAGTGGTGGTGGTGGTGGTCGTAGTAGTAGTAGTAGCAGCAAACCTCAGAAGAGGTTAAGCAAGGATTTTAAAGGACAGCACTGCAGAACTATAGAAAGCTAAGCTCAGATATCTTTCCCAGGGCTCCAAAGTTGGCGCATTACTCCCTCCCCCTAAACAATTCCTTTCATTCACTGCAGAAGCTTTCAACGTGAACACTTTTGTGACACATTGCATATGGTTCTTTGAGGAATTTGCAGTGTAAACTGGTGCAGGAATCAGTTCTCGGGAAAGCTCTCACCCTTACCCGCTTGGACAGGCAATCCAAGACTGCCGTGCGAAATTACGAAATATGAGATTACTTTACCCATGTCAGTATTTGTGGTTGACACTCCACAGTGGACTGGAGGCGATCAACAAGCTTAGTAGTAGTTCTGAGGTACAAAGAAGAGTTGGCTCGGTTCAGCCTCAAGGCAGTCCTCAAGGCTATGAAACACGAGGATGATGCTGTCAAGGACTTTATGTTGTCTCAGCGGCCGTTTGACGGTCTGACGACAGTCTCATTTCAAAGTTCAGAGTGAAGATGATGGAAAAGAGAAAGATAAAGTTGTACATTTACTCTGTCGCCAAGAAGGGCCAATCAAGAAACGAAGGCTGCCCAGAAGCGAAGGTTGAATTGCCTGAGTCCCTACGCAGGATGGAACAGGATGGAACAGGTATTTCAGAGGCTCCCAGAGCCTCGGATGTTGTTCACATCCGACCGAACTTGCAAAGTGATCCCACCGAACTACTGTTTGATCCACTAATTTGACTGTTTTCCAATTTTGAAAGGTCTGAAGTACAAAAGTCACTCAATGAGCGGTAAGGTGTCCAGGATTGAAGACTGTTCGATGATTTTGTGTAAGGGTGTTTGATAACGGTTTTCAGGTTAGTGTTCCAGGAATCAATCAAACCTCAGAAGGGGCTAAACAAGGATGGGAAAGGGACACAAAAAACTTGAACAGAATAAATGCGATCAATAAACAAAGCAGACCTTACACAAAAATCCTGTGCATTAAAGAAAAAAACATATTCCCACCCACTTCACTAAACTATTCAGGGTGTGGGACAATTTTGTTGAGTGATTTTACATATTCCCTCCCGCTTGACTGATCAGGATTCGGCATTATTCCCACTCATGTTGGCAATAATTATCTGCAATCCCCAGGAATTTTGTTGTTCACCAGTTCCTTATATAAAGGATTCTGGCCGCAACTCATCGCAGCTCAGATGGTTTCCAGGACTTGTACCAGTCTCGAAGCCCTTCATTCTCAGGTGTCCTTTATTTGGAGACTGGTTGATACAGCACATATCAACTTGCTTATAGTGGAGATTGCACAACCCCCAAGTTTGGTGGTTTACTTGGACTCCATTTGACCCATCTCAAAGACATCTTGGGGCTTGTGCCATCTATATAATTACTTTGAAGCCACGGTGACTTAAGACTTGTCATGATGTTCTGAGTTCAGGCATGCTGACTTTCTGAACTATTTCATACTATTTCTATGAAAGACACCGAAGATTGCAGAAACACGAGCCATTCTAGAGACAGGAGCTGCGACCGCCAGCAGCTTCCACAAACCCTACAGCGATGAGAGCTACGACGTGTTGTCAATGACGTCTTGGAGTATCAACAGAGATCAACGGCAGCTGATCTATACTACTATATGGGCTGGTGCAGTCATGTTCTTTCCATTTAGTGCGGTTCTCAAAAGAAATGTGATCTGCACTCTCTCTCTCTCTCTCAATTTGTTTGTTAGATCATAGATCGATCAAGTCTTGGTAGGGTTAATGAAGACCAATCTGTTTGTCATTTGGTTTGTGAAACCAAAATAATCTCAAACGGGACCTCATGGACGTTGACCCACCGTCGGAGGTGGCCACACCCCGGGCCAAGACGCGCGAGGCCATGGCACCGGCGAAGACGTTTCGGTTTTGGTTTCTGACATGGTTCACAACCATTCAGCCCTTCTTGGAGGATTCCAGTGGCTTGTGGATGCAGTGGTACTATTCTATTCTATACTTAGTCTCCCGGATGTTAAAGTTTTTCTGCCATGTAATTCCCTCCACCGCTTTAAATTTATCAATACCAGGTGTCTCATTCAAACTGAAATGCAAAAGAAGAGAGACAATGAGAGACAATTCTTTTATTAGGCCCAATGATTAGGTATGCAGTGGTAGCACAACGACAGCAACAACAACAGGCACAGCCCCAGGAGACAGAACAACAACTCAATGACAACTTCCAGATACGGACAGCAACCACACCAGGAGACAGCACAGGACACGCAAGACAGCACACCATGTCTTGTTTGGCGGTCGAAACCAAGTCAAGTTCCGTTCGAACACCGGACTCCACGGGGTCGGCGATCGGGTCGGCCGCGATGCATGGGAACCTGAAGAACAGCAATATGATAATATGGTGTATACTACACTGTATCCTGCAGCCTTCCCTGGTGGGCATGCTTTGCGAATTACTTCCCAAAACATACCAAACCTATTTTGGGTGCCCTATCCGAGTTTCTGTACTGTAGTTTGTTGGACCCTACTAGGCCCTACCAATTCTGCACTAAGATTCTTTTCTTCGGCTGCATGCGACAGTCACCTTTTGTTGCTTCCCAAATGTTATAGGACTTGTTTCCTTGTTTCCCTGCATCTGAAAAAAAATAATCACCTAAGGATCCTGAGGCCAAGCAAGGTGACATTGGTCATATATCGTCATATTATTTCATATTGGTCTATATGGATCCTGAGCCAACTCTCCCAAGATCGCAATGCCAGCCTTGGAGGTTGCTACACCTGCCCGGGCCAAGACACAGGAGGCGAAGATGGGAAGTCAAACTTTCCGGGTGTGGCGGAGAAAGGATAAAAAAGGGTGATGTTTCCCAAACTTGGTCAATCCCCCTGGCATGGGAAAGTGCTTTCTTTGTCCCGGTTCTTGAGCAGCCGCAAATCCAAGTGCTGTTGTATTTTTGGAAGTGGACCACCTCGTTTCCATCGCCAGTGGGTGTAGAGGGACTCAATGTTTGTAGGGGATTGACTCCCATCCTGGTTCATGTTTTCGTTCTATGAACCAGGTACAGGCAGCAGAATTGAAAGCAGGTCCTGTTTGTTTAGGAAATATTTGTTGAAGAGTTTCAGGCCTTCAGAAATGACTGGACCTAACATACCTGAACTTGCCAAGGACTTGTGTTGCTTTGCTGAAGATTTCCATGAAATGGACAGCTCTACTTATGATATTATCGCATTGCATGACATATGATATACTGAAAGTTAGGAACAATCATCTCAATGCCTATGTTAGATTATGTTAGTATGAGACAGCGGCAGAAATCTGATGTGTCCTGCAATCTCAGTCGAGTCGTTGTTTTTTTTTGCTACGTGTACAGGGTAGGTATCTTGATTTGTGAGGAGGCCACAATTTTTTGCCCAACAAGTGGCCAAAGTGAAGCTTTTAGACTTTCTTGGACCACCCGTCATCAACTCATGATTGTGCCGCATTTGTGCCTCACACCAGCCCACCAGAGCATTTGTCCTCAGTTCCACCGAACGCCTTTGTGGTATTATTATACGGATTCACATATTGATAGCGCAAGTAAAAGTGCTCAATATGATACTTTATCCCTATCAACATGAGTTGAAATTGATTCTGACCGTATAGATGGCACGTTGTGAGGACAGCACTGCAGTCAGACGAGATTGATGGTTGCGGTTGAGTATGTGTATGTATATATATATGTGTGTGTGTGCCATCATATGCACTGAGATCTGACACATTGAACATGGTGTATATAGGCCCATGACACACCCGACCCTATTGATGGCATTTGTCAAGCTTTGCAGAAAATTGTAACCTTTGCTTAATATGATGTAGCGGGCTCAAGGGTGAGTCAAGCTTAAACACTTGAAGCGTGAATGCTTCTCGGGAGGGACCTGACAAGTGACTGCTGTAATGTGATGGTGCAATAGGTAGACAGATAGACAAGATTTGATAAGTAAGTGCATATATAGATTGATATATATATATATACAAAAGAGTAGCTAGGTGTGGCTCGTGCATCACACACATGGCAATATTGGGGATCATAGATAGGTGACTAAAGAAAACTATAGATATCAGTGAACTCAAGAATTCACTGACTAGGAACAATACAGTTTTGTTGACTTTTGCAATTTTTGTATGTGTTTTTTTGATGTGTTTGATTTTGAACATATTTCACTGTTTTGCAATCTTAACTCCCCAGTTTTGATGTGCCATCAAACTGGTCGCAGGGAAAAGGCGCTTTTGTGCCTTTTGCAACTGGTCCCATGTTTTTTTTGTTTTGGACATATGTTTCCCTGGTTTGCCATCTTATGTCCCCAGTTTGGATGTGCCATCAATCTGGGAATCAGTATTTATATATATATATATTATATATATATATTGTTATATATTAAAAACCATGGTTCTTCTCGCTGCGAGGCTGAGATCTATCCTCGTCCACACAAGAGGACCCCTGTGGTGAAGGTGCGAACTTGCGCTGGGGCACCTTCTGTGGCGCTGTCTTCCAGCACTGGAGAACCCCCAAAGGGTGTCGGTGTGTTTTGTTTCTTTTCCTAAGAAAGGCAGCATGGGTCTATTAGATGGTGGCTTTGAGTGGTCAGTGGTTTCACATTGTTAAGACATATTAAGACAAGGTTTGGTTCAAAAATAGATTTGCCGCCAGGTTGTGATGGACTTTTCTCATCATGCCGGGTTCCCTGGGCTGTGGATGAGTAAGCTGCCTTGGGTTTAGCTGCCCAATAGATGATTTTCTTGGTTTCACGGTGTCAACAACTGCATGAGTATCTTGTCTCAGATGTCTCAGCAACTGACTACTGAATCATACCCGAATGGTACGACTGGGACTCCAGATAGGGAACTCCCAATCACCTGCATGAGCTTCGGGTAAGCTTCCAGATCCAATTGAACAGGCACCTGTTGCGGAGCAATCGTCGAAGCGGCGCCTTCGATCCCGGTTGCGTGGACCTCCCTGACACTCGAAACTGGCATATGAGTTTACCATCCCCGGTGGTTGAACAGGGGTTGAACAGGGGTCAATGTAAATATTCCACACAGTGAGTCACAGTGAGTGTTGTGGCATTGTTTTTTCATCGCTCCCGGATGATGAAATGCCTCCATCCACTGAGCCAGGCAGGCAAGAAGAAGGGGCAGAAGATGATCTGGAGCAAGACCTTGGGTGTGTGGCAAGAACCATGAGGCGCAATCTTGGAAGTGCGGGTGGAATTGCAGCAGGACACAGAACGTTTTTTGTTTCCAGAGGAGGTTTTGGTGGTTAGAACTTTGCATGTCATGGTACCCTCGGTTGGACCTTAAACGTTTCGAATCGACGATGGAGGACGTCGTGTTTCTTCTAACTCAAGTCAGTCATGCTTGGTCCATGGGTGCCGCCTTGTGGACATTATCTGAGGGTGGGGATATGTGCCCCAAATAACTTGATTATTTTGGTTGGGTGGGACAGGGGGGGGACCCCTAAGGGACTGCCCATCTTGGTCCTACATGCAAAGATACTCATGTCTCGACTCTACATCCCGGCTTTTGCAGGTTGCGAACAAGATCTTTCAGCAGCTCCACACACACCCAGCTGCGGGTGGCTGATGGTGTGCGGAGTGGCGCATTTGCTGTGGTAAGTCTCGTCTTGAGGAGGCCCCATGCTGAGGGTGTCCGCATGGAAAATGTTTGGCAGGGGAGAAGCTGAGACCGACGCCGAGATCAACGCAGCCTGGGGACACCTGTGAGGTTGGATGTTTGATATTGTTTAATGTGACTGATGGGTCAGCAAGCCTATGGGCCTCATATGGCCTCATTCCCAATCTAAATCACGGGTGTTGCTGTCGGTATTATGAGAGTAGTTCTTTTTGAGATGGGTCAAGACCTTTACAGGGCCATGCTGGGGGATCATCATGGATCATCATCATCGCATTTGGTCGCATTATTGGGGTATTTGCCACAGCATTGGGGCTCCTCGAGCAAACGGTGATGGTAGAGAATCAGGGAATGACCCCTTGCCACAGATACCTTAGGATCCAGTCATTCTCATTCATTCCTTGCTTTTAATGCTCCAGTCAGTTGTTTAAGGGAGAGCCATTCAAAACCCCAAGTCTTTCGGTACGATCGACAGCCTGACATTGGTGCCGATGTCGTAGCAGGCGCAGCGCACCGAAAGAACAAATCAATTATGTTTGAACTGTTTGAGTTAATTTAACTCTCCACTCAGCTTCTCTGTCTGTGTTTCGATTAGCAGCCGCTGGGACCAAATGCTGGCTGCTCAGCCCAGAACAGTGGTGACAGCACCTGGTTTCGTAGGAGGTGTGGACTGCTCAAGATTTGATTGCTCAAACATAGTATAGACATGTAAGTGCTGGGAAGGTTATATAGAAGAATAAAACACTGGACGCAGCTTTTAAACTTCTGTTCATGGTTTGTTTGCCGCTGAAGGAGTGGTACTTTGGTGCCATTGCAACTGCGGGTCAAATCAGGCTACGTCACATGAAAATCCCAAAGGACCTTGCGACATGAAGCCATATCCTGTTTGTAGTGGAGGGTGGGTGGCATGACTCACAGAAGCCGTTGCCTTATGTGGCAGTGGGTCAAAACCCGGCGACCCTGATTGGCCACCTAAAATGAACAGAATAGTCTACTAGTGAGGTCAACCTACCAGGGACAAGGGCTCCAGACAAATGCTTCAGAGTTTCTTGTCTTCAACAGAGATAGACACCATATCCATCACATGTTTGATAGGGACCTTTTTGACTGTCATGCTTGTTGAAGGGAACGTATTTGTATGTATTTCCTTTTTTGGGGTGGGTGGACCTCACTCGCCTCGAGTTTCGTTAGCCCAAACACTTGTGAAACAACATGGAACTCGGGAACTTGGGCTCAACTAGTCGCCTTTGCAAACACCATCAACGGGATGTGTCACTTCTTTTGGACACGTCACAGCCTATAATTACCCTCCAACTCACACATGGTTTTGTTGGAAGACATTTCTCCTCTACCAACAAAAGCTTTTCACTCCACTTCCATGTGCTGTGTCCGTCAGGCATTGTTTACATATGTAAAAAATAACTGCTTTCACTTCTCGTGCATAAGCCCTGGACATCGGAGGCCGTCCGAGGCCATAGGACAGCCACCACCTGCGAGGGTTTTTTTTGTGGTTTTTGCACGTGCCTGCATGGGGGCAGTCGTTGACATGGGGTCCAAACCCTTCAAGTCACTTGAAGATTTATGGAATTGTTGATTCATATTCCCCACACACACACATGGTGCTGCACTTCGATTCCCAGCCACTTTGAGCTGGAAGAATGCCAAAGAAATGGCACTTTATGGGATTTTTTTCGACAGAGAACAATCCTAGACCCTCGGCTGGTAGGTTGCAGTGAACATTTTTAGGACTTTCCGGTTGGACCAGCAAGTGAAGCAGGGGAAACTCATACAGCTTCGGACATCTGAGGTCATTTGATGATCATTAATTTGATGCACGCATCATAGGAGTTGGGCTTGATCCTATTCCCACCACAGGTTTGCAGTCGAATACACTTGGGGGAATCAGGCTTTGGCTATTAAAAGAGTCCCTCCTGGCACCCACCACAATCAGCTTCTCAGGAGATAGATGTGGGGACCTGTCCAAGAAATGAGGCATCTCAGCAGGTGCAATAGTCGCAAATCAGACTTCAAGACATTTGGTTGACCAGCCGAAGGGTGGAATCCTGGGCGACGCGCCTGATTCAGAGCAGCTGCCTCTCCCGTGTTCTTTTCGGTAGCAACTGTGACAACAGGGCAGCTGTTGGATCCTTCATTGGATAGAGAACTTATCAGAACATCCTGCGGGAATGGGTCAAATAATCTCAATCCAACCAGAAGTGCCACAAAGAGTCCAGGTATTTTCTTTTGTATAGCTTTTGAGGTCATTTTCGGATGGTTCTGGACTGTCTGGACTTTGGGAACCACTGAGTCAGCTCAGTTTTGGAGTTCAGCTCAACTCCGAAAGACTGGGTCCCACGTCGTTTTTCCTTCGGAACGGACAGAATCTGGGCGAGCTACGACAGCTACAAGCTTCGGGAAGATCGGGCGCCAACAACGCGTGGGATGTGCGCAACAGCCAGCCAGCTGAACGCCTGGCATGCTAGCCTCATGAACCCCCCCCGTCCAGCAGCACCGAAAGCTGCAGGAAAAGGAAACCCTAGTGAGCCTAGTGATCCACATACCTTCTCAGAAGGTACTTGGGCCCTCCAAGGCTACATAAATGGTCTCCGATCACCTTCTGAGAAGGTACGTACTTGGATCGATAGGCAAAGAAGGAGCTCAGTTTGGTTTCAGTCCGTTCCCACTTCTCCGAGGGCCAGGTGTCAGGATCCACATCTAACGATAGGTCAATTTAGAGAATGGGTTTACAGATCTTCCCGTCTTCGCCTGCGGGCATTTGCGGGCGCAAGCATGTCGAGATGCAGCATGGGAGTGGCGGCGCTTCTCGTTTTTCGTAGCAAAACAATGCAGGGAGATGATGGACATGACATGAAGCGTGAAGCGAACGGAGGCAACGGTCGAAAATCGGAGGGTCGCAGCACCGAGGAGCACGCGGAGCATTGCCGAAGAGTGTTTTGTGACTCTGTTCATGGCGTGTTCAGCCAGGCCACCAAGGATCCAAAGGTCCTTTGTGAATCGGAGATTTATTTGATGTTGATTTGGTTGATATTGAATCGCAGTGATTTGATTGACTTATTTCAAGAATGTTGATCTGATTCATTTCTTTGTTTTTTGGCGTTTGGCTCCAACTTTCTGCGCCGCCTCTCGGTGGCCTTGGGGGTTCCAACTCCCTCGGCCTTGGAACGGAGCAGAATTCCAGTTGGTCAAGGACTTAGGGTACCAAATGAGAGGCCTCAATCTGTCTCAATCTATAGCGTGTTGAATCCTGATTTCTGCAGATACCCCAAGGCTCCATTTAAGTAAACAAAAAGTCAGAAAGTGACTATTTTGGACTAAACTAAACCAGAGAGCATGGTGCGTTTGGGATAAACATGGAGCAGTACAGCACTGCTCAGCACTCTCTTGAACATCACCTCTCTTGCCCAAACACGCCAGGCTCACTGCTGCAAACAGGACACTGGAGAGCGATTGGCCAAAAAAGCGTCTTAGCTCGCCGTGTGTCTAAGTAGCTCCCCGATGTCGGACTACCAAGCTCCTGCCTTGCCCATACAACCAGGCCAGAAGTGGATGGTTGATTGGCCAAACTTTACAAACTCAGGACCAGCTCCACCCACTTAAAGACATTTTTTTGTTGGATGTGTTTGGATGAAACCTGGTCAGGACGTTTCTTCTTATCAACCCACCCGACCTGTGCTCCTCACGCCTTGACCCCATCGGATCCCTCCGTTCGTTCGTTTGCGGATCGTCCGGTCGTTGGGTCGGTGAGGAAGCGGCTTTGGTGGATGAGTTCATGTTCAAACTTAACATGTTCAAATGCACCATGTTGGTGCTTCTTTTTTCTCCATCCGAAGCCCATGGTAAGAAAGCCCATGGTTGGAGAATCCCTGGAAAGCGCATGACGTGAAGCAGCTACAGGTACGTTGGAGATCGTTCCAGACCTTCGACGCAGGCGATTTCTCAATCGGAGGAAGGTTTAAAAGATCCTTCTCAGTCAACCAGGTGTGTCTGAAAACGTGGTCATGTGTCTCAACAGGGGAACGTGGGAACATGGTATGTCCGACAAGTGTTGTTTTTTGTTTCTGCGGGTCCCAGTAGTTCAGAAAGAATGAAGAACTGGTCATCATTCATGACGAAAAGGATCTACAAGGGATCACTGATTGATGGAGACTTGTTTTTAGCCCGTTCAACTCGCGCTCGAAGTCTCTCCGTGTCTCCGGTTCTTGTGGGGATCCCCAAGATTCAATCATTGGGGAGGCTTCCCCATGACAAGATCTTTCAAAACACAACAAGTAAATGTGCCCAAACTATTTGGAGAGGCGTTTTGGGAATTTGCCCCAGGAAAATCATATCTATATAGGTCCGAATTAGGAGTTAGACAAGAAATTTGTAATCTTAGGGACTCCTCTGGCATGGAAATGTTGATGCCGGTTTTGAATAGATTGCGCAACATCTTTAGGGTTGCGATGTCTTTCTAGGATTGCGGCATGTTGACTCAACAAGTTTAGAATGCCATGGCGGTGTGTTTGGACCTCAAGTCAAAAGGGGCCATGTTTAGAATGCCGTGTTTGCTCATGTTTCTCGCTTGCGGTGTGTTTGCCCATGTCAGTGTGCAGCCTAGCCTGCTAAAAGCCAATTGTGGTGTGTTTCTGCAAAATTAACGCTTTAAGATTCCCTGGGTATGCAAACAAAGGTGCTTCTGAGTCATTTGTCGTTATATGCGTGTGCCACTTTTTTCTCAGCTGCATACAGCAGCCGATGTGTACCCACTCGAACGAGTAAGGGGCAGGGTTGGAGTGTTCGGACGTGAGTAACGCCCCCTCTCCGAACCGAACTCTCAAAAAATACGCTAGAATATGCCAGCTTTCTAGAAGCTTGTTTAACGGCAGTTGCTATTGCAGGAAAGCGTTAGGTCAACCTAATCGAAGAGTTCGTGAATCCTGTGTTTACGGCGGACCAAAACTTGCACCGTCGCGCACCATCGAAATCATGGCAGGCACCTGTTGCGTTTGGCCCAGGCGGTTCTGGAGCAACGTTCCGGAGGGAAAACGGGAGTTTCAACCACCCGCCATCAAT